TCATAAAAAATAAATTGAAAAAAATAATGATACTTAAATTTTAGCAATCCAAATTTAGAAAGATGAAATACAAAGGACAAAAAAGTAAACAAAATAAACCCCTAGAAAATAAAGTATCGGCAAAGTCAAGTAAGTCTATGAAACTTTGCAAGCCGAATCATATGAATAGAATAACCTAATAGAAAACATAGTAGAAAAAATTATAAATTTCAATTATTAAACAAATCAAATATTGAATGATAGAATCAAAGATATTTAATCTTAAAAAAAAAAGATTTGAATTAACCTGGGCTAACTTGTTAGGCCCGTTATCTAGTTCATGAGACCGGGATAACATTATAGAAAGGAAAGCAAAGAAAAGCATGATGTTCTATTTTCAACAAATCAAATGTTGAATGATGAAATTGAAAAAGAATCGATGTAAAAAAAGATCTAAAAAAATATTGATATCAACTCGGGTTAACCTTTAAACCTATAATTTGGACCATAAGACCTAAATTACCCTGTCAAAAAAAAAACATGAAGTCTAATTTCTCACTTAACCTAGTGTTAAATAATAAAATTAAAAAAAAATAAATAAAAAGAGCCTAAAGCAAAAATAACAAATGAAAAAATGAAAACTAAATTTTACATAAAAAACAAAATGACAGGGCACATTTTATTTTTTATTAGGCCAACATGAATATTGAGAAAAGGAGAGGGTAAAAAGGGAGGGGAAGAAAAAAAAATGTTATCAATATTGCACTGCTACTTATCAACCAATACACTACATCTCCTGAACAATCTCAACATGACACTTCCAATGCAACCAGGTAAGCCAACATTTGATTGTTAGAGAAAGCCACACTTATTGCCAAAACATGGCGAGCTTCCTCCTCACATGTCAGTTAAGTTGTCATACTTGTTTATCTTAGTCCATCATATTTGTTCTACAATCAATTTTGATCTTTTAAGTTTTAAATATTTTATATCAATATAATTTTATTTTATTGTCAAATTAAAGATCAACCAATCACTAAAATTTTCCCTTGATATTGTTGGAACCTCATATTTAGATAACCAAAATAAATTATGAAGTTAAATCCTAAATAAATATAACCTAAAATGATCAAATTAAAAAAAAAAGCTATGACAAAAAAAAACATGAATTTTTTGTTCTGACTTTGCAAATCAGTTATTGAACACACCCACACATGAGATAGCATGTTTACACGTTGCCGTGGGCTTATAAAACAAATATACTCGATAATGTTATAATTATGAATCAGTACTAGATAAGTAATTGAAACTAAATGTATAATGGAGTCAATATTTCATGAGAAAACAAATTGTATTGGTGATAAAAAAAAAAAACTTAGAGACTAAATAAAATGATTTATAGCAATTCACAGTGTTTTCTGAGAAAAGATATAAAAGATATAGTGCTTTTGTCACATGATTTAGCCTTTCCATTAATAAAAAGTAAAAAAAAATTCACAGCTAAATTCTTTATCAATTTAATATTAAAAAAAACTACCAAATATAATTTTGAAAGGAAAAATACCTGTGAGGAAAAATGTTGTAGCAATTGACAATATTTTATGATGAAAATTACAGTGCTTTTCCCAATAAAATAAAATAAAAAAAGCATTTAGAGAAATACTGTAGCAATCTAAAGTGTTTTATGAGAAAAACTACAACGTTTTTCCACATGATTTAGCTTTATTGTAATTATAATTTTTAACTAACTCCATATTTAAAAAAAATTGACAAAGATAATTTTAGAAAAAATCATATGGGAAAACATTATAACAATTCACAGTATTTTTTTTAAAAAAATTACACAATGACAGAGATAAAATCTTAAGAAATTATATCAATCCATAATGATTAAGCTTTTCCTCACATATTCACAGTGACAAAGATAGTTCTGAAAAAATCATAGCAATAAAAATTATGTGAAGAGATACTATAGCAATTCACAACATTTTGTGAGGAAAGTTACAATGTTTTTTTCATATGATTAAGTTTTATTATAAAATTAAATTTTAACCAACTCAATATTAAAAAAAAAAGATCGACAAAGATAATTTTAGAAAAAACATATTACAAAAAAAACACAAAAGAAATAGGAAAAAAATTATGTGAGAAAAACTGTATCAATCCATAGCGTTCCGTGAGGAAAAAATTATATTATTTATAATTGCAATTCTTAACCAACTTAATATTTAAAAAATAAAATTTTAGAGAAAAGCATAACAAAACAGAAAAAAACCATGTGGAGAAAACACATTGTGGCAATCCACAATAATTTACAATGAAAGTTAAAATACTTTCTCATATATTATAACTGTAATTTTTAACTAACTTAATATTAAAAAAGATAATTTTAAAGAAAATCATAAAAAAAAAAACATATGAAGAAATACTATGTAAAAAAACACCACAACAATCTACAACATTTCAAAAGAAAAATAAATTTAAAGCAAAATTTTTAACTAGTTCAATATTTAAAAAATAAAATTAATAAAAATAATTTAAAAAACAAATAAAAAAATAAAAAAAACAAATGAAAAGGTGAAAAAAAAAATGCACTATGAATTACTATTGTAATCCACAATACATTTGGGTGTGGAGATATAGTGATTTCCCCACACTTTTTAGTTGCGTAAAAAAATAACGCAACAATCTATAATATTTTAAAGAAAAAAATTATAAAATAAAATTTTTAATCAATGTAATATTTAAAAAGTAAAATTAATAAAAATAATTTTTAAAAAAATAAATGAAAAAAAAGAGGAAAGTTGTAAAAAAAAGGAAATTAATTTCAAAAAAAAATAAACAAAAAAAAGGAGAACAAATGAAAAGGTACTTAAAAAGGTGCAAAAAAAAAAGTACTATGAATTATTACTGAATTATTACTGTAATACACAATGCATTTTAATATAAAAAAATAATAATTTTCTCACATCATTTAGTTTCTTTATATAATATATATATAAAAGACTGAAAATCTGATAAAGCTTTAAATTTGGTTGGTAAATCTTTAATTCTTTTAAATTAATAAAAATTAATTTGAATTTTTAACTAAAGAATTAAAATGAAAAAAAAATAATCCTAATAACGATAAAAAAGGAGAAACTTCTTTCAAGAATGGGATGTGACAATTCCAGCCAAGGAACCGCAGAGCGGTTTGGCGTTCTCTCTCTGTTTTTTACGAGGTTCAGGATATTAGTTTGGAAATTACTGATCCTTTCTATTTGATGGCATTTCATTGAAGCATTCAAGCAGCCTGGCATACCGTCGGAGCTTAGGAACATTGACGAATGACGATAGACTGCTTGCTTGGCAGTATCCATCAACAACGGTTTTTCATTTTTCATTTTTTTTTTCCGGTCAATCATAAACTTTTCCTTCGGTAAACCCATCGATGCACTGAAGTCAATTGCGGGTAGATTTCAAAAATAACTTGCATTTTTATATAATTTTACTTTAAAAAATTAAGCTGATATCTTTTAAAATAGCATATTAAATCAATTTAAATTACTTTAACTTAACTTGTTAAATTTATTAATTATATAATAAGATTATAATAACCTATAAAAAATAAATAAAAATTATTTTAAATTTAATTTTCATTCAACATAATATATGTTAAAGGATAAAATATAAAATAAATTCGACTAAAAAATTAAATAGAGTTAACTTGAATTAATCTGTCAAACATAAATCATAAAACTAAAATAATTCTATATAAAATAAATTATAGAACTCAATTTTCAATTATTCTACTATTGAAGAGTAAAATTTTATATATAAAAAAAATATAAAAAACAATTCAAGTTAATCAACTAAACTCGTGAGTCGAGTTATGAAACCGAAATAACCTCATATAATGTAAACTAAAAAGATTATGAAGTCTAATTTACAATTAATCCAATATTAAATGATAAAATAAAAAAAATTAAATAAAAAAAAATAAAATAACCTGAATCAATTGGTCTTATCTACAACCCGAATCATAAAACCATAACAACTATTTAAAAAATAAATAAATAATAATATAAATCTTAATTTTTAATCATCCTAATTTTAAAAAAATAAATTAAAAAAATAAAAAATAACTCAAATAAACTTAAGTTAATCTACCAAACTCGAGTTAGAAAACTAAAATAACTAAATAGAAAGAGAATAAAAATAATTATAAAATTTAATTTTCAATCATCATATTATAACTAAATAAAAAATAAATAAAAAAAATTATAAAATCTAATTTTTAATTATCATATTAAAAAAATAAAATTAAAAAAATAAATAAATAATAGGAAAAAAAAACTCAGACCAATATAGTTAATTTACAAAACTCTTAACCTAAATTATAAAATCAAAAATTTTTTATAAAAAACAAGTCAAAATAAATTATAAAATTTTATACCCAATAAACTCAATAATAAATAAATAAAAACTCAATAATAAATAAAAAAAATTAAAAATTTTTTTGAAAAAAAATCAACTTCTCATTGTTAATTGCTACATTAAAAAGCCAAATACCAAATACTTTTAGTATATGTTATTTAATTAATATGAAATGAAAATGGAATTTTAACTTTTTCACCCAGTTTACACGTCACTGGCTAACGATAGTTCGGTCTTGATGGTTTTAACACGAGTCGCTGGGTGAATAACTAAATAAAATCTCTGAAATTTAGATGGACAGACCATCATAATTTGTTAGAACTCTGTTTCAAAAACACAACTATTGAAGCTACTGATTGATTCTACTGTTGAACGACATTTCCTCCCCAGCTATCTTCAGGCTTGGATCTACCACTGTCTGGTGGGAGATGGGAGATCACAAAATTGGAAAGCAACTCAACAGAGCAAAACCAGTTGATGTTGAAGAAGATCAAATACAGCAATAGCAAATTTAAAAGGCTTTAAATTGAAGATGCTGGCATGAATAATAGTAATGACACAAGCCAATAAGCAAGCTATAATCGTGGCATGCAGGTAAGAACAAGTTAGCAGCAGCAACTCAGAATAAAACGGGTTATTCAAGCTCACAGCATTATTTGTGTCCAGAGAACAATTTAAATAGCTAATGACATTGCAATTGCCTCGACAGCTTAGGCCTATAAAACCACAAAACCTGTTTTCTCAAATAGATTCATAATTGATCCTGATGCTGAGAAAAAACAAAAAACAAAAAACAAAAAAAGAGTGCAGCCACATACCCAGTCAGTCAAAGAAACTACAGAACCAACTTTCAGACATTTCGATTTATAAGAGTACTAGCCCTAGCTCCGAGGGTCTCAAAGCATGCCTTATGCGGTAATTGTAAAGATAGTAGTGTAGTTGCCCATCACCTGGTCCAAATTTCAGTTCCTTCAGGAAAGACTCGTTATGCATGACATCCAATGCATTAAAAACATCAAAATCCTTCTGCTTGGCAACAATCAGTGCATCATTCATTAACTGAAGCAATGGAGTCTTCGTGCTAACATTGTAATATGAATAAGCAGCTTTCAATGTCGAGTGGTTCTGGTTGCCAAGAATAGAGGATGGAAGAGTATAGAAGCTGCAGAAGTCGGTGATCTCATGAGTCTCTGGGCTCTCAACTAAGTAGCTATCAACCACGTTCTCGGTTGGAAGAAGCCAGTGCTCCACATCATTTTCATCAAAATCCGGAGCAACAACAAACTGGCTCAAGTAATTTCTTAGCAACCTCGTAACAGCAGGCACATCACGAAGTTCCATATTTCTAAATCCGGGGGTGGCAGGGGAATCTGGTAACTTGTAAAGTTTTATGGTCCGGCTCATTGTCATCCTTGCACCAAGCCTTGAAAAGCCAACATCAATAAGCTTCTTGGGGTTCAATGACCTGTGCCAATACTGGCAGGTTGTTATTGGTGTTGGAAGAACCACTCCTGCAGTGTAAGCAGCCTGCCAAATATTCTCTAAATGAACCCTCCTTGTAACCTCCTTAATCATAACAGGAGCAAGTCTCTTGGATCGAAGCTTCTTATGAACACATAAGAAATTAATCTCAGCCATCTTCACAACTTCATCACGCACCCGAATCCTTGCAGGAACGCCTGTTATAAAAGCAACAAGCTTCTTCGAAGATTTGGCACGAACTCCAATGTGCCAGCTTCGATAATAGCCCGGGGGACGCAAAGCCCATGTAAGAAACTCCTGCGAGTAATTAAACCTGAACATGTTCTCATCGTCCTCAACATAGTTGCACTTCAAGAGATCGTAAACCTCGCGGCAAGTCTCATCAGATTCCATGTCACAGGTGGTCCATTCATACTGACTAGGGAGATTGTAAGGTTCCTGTTTAACTTCAGAAAGCAGGGTTGGAGGCTCGATGGGACCTTCAGGCAGATTTGAGTCACCAATGTCTTTGAATTGACCAACAGGTTGGCTTTCCCAAAACTTGTGTGTCTTGCCTAAAGAAACCGAGTCCTTAAACCTACGGACTATAGTTGAGAGTGAACTATTTTCCTTGGAAACTGGGTTTGTCTCAGAATCATGATCAGGGTTATCTTTCGAAGACCCAGGTAGTGAATTATTTTTGTTATCAGCCATTTCAGCAAATCAAGTTTCCTATCAAACAAAACAGATATAATTATCAAAGTAGAAGAGAAAAAAACATATCTAACAGCGAAGCGAATCCAGACACCGCACCGCAGAAAAATCAAATCATTGTGTTAAGAAACCAAAACCCACCCAGATGCTATTTTTGTTTATAAGATCTGTTCATCCTGTCAGGCATTACAAACCACAGAAAAACTGACAGATCTAAAAGACATATGCAGAGGGGTGTATAAAATACCTTCCTTCAAGGAGCTACTGTAGATCGACCTATTTCTTGATGATTTCGGGAGGAGTCTCCAAGGCGATGATGTTGCTACGAAATTTGGAAGGCGACTGCAAAAGACGCTGCTTTCTTGCTTTGGGGATTTTTAATATGAGAAGAATTCCACGAGGAGAGGGTCTGATTCAATTTTGATTTAAGTTATACTCTGCACCTTATACTTCATTTTCGATCAATTGCAACCCTATAATATACTTTCAATTTGTCATTCAATCTTCCCTACTTCCGTCACCAATAAAAATCGATTAAAATCTCAAAAACAAAATAAATATTTGAGCTTAAATTATTAACATTTTACCACTTTAATCCCAAATAACTATTTGAAAATAACTCAAAAATAGGAAAACAGTCAGCTTTATTGACAAATAATATAGTGCATGTGATCCTGATCCATCTAGACATAGACATGCTGGTAGTATTTTTTCATGGGTGAAACAATAATTTTTTCATGTAAAAAAATAAAATGTATTAAAAACATTCAAGTCTAAATTAATGGGTTAAAGTGGTAATTTCAAAAATAAAAAATTAAAACACAGCAACAATAAATAAATTAATCAAAAAATAATTAAAAAAATAAAAAAACCACCCCTAAACCTATTTAGATTATCAAACAACGGGATGAACATAACTAAAAAAAATTATAACAAAAAGGAATCAAATTTTATAAAAAAATACGCCAGCTTAAAAAAAAACAAAACAATCTTAGACAAACCTTTAAAACCTCATCTAATCCAAAAAAACTTGCAACTTGTTAGATAATAAATTCAAATTCAATTAAAAAAACTTAAATGTCATCCAATTTAATTTTGAATGATGAAATTATTAAAAAAAACTACTAATAAAAAAATTGTAAAAGAAAAGAAGCAGAAAAAAATGGGCTTAAAATCTGACAGAAAAGAATAAAGATGAAATTAAAAAAATAAAAGTATCCCTAAAAAACTGATAAAACAATTAAGACTAATTTTTTGACATTGAGAGATGAAATTGAAAAAAAATCAATAAAAAACAATGCAAAACAGAAAAAATAGCAATTAAAAAAATTATGAATAAATCTAACATAAAAATAAAATGAAATTAAATATTAGGGGATGAAATTGTAAAAAGCCAATCAATCAAGAAAATAATTTAAAAACAACAACTAAAAAAATGACCATATTTGATACAAAAATTAAATGAAAATAAATGTTTGGGGTGAAATTGTAAAAAAAAAAATCCATCAAGAAAACAATTTAAAACAAAACAAATATCAATTCAAATAATGAACATCAAATTTAAAAATAAAATTCAAAAATCAAATGATCAGAGATGAAATAAAAAATATAACCCAATTAGAAATAACCAATGTAAATAAAAAAAGAGGGACTGAATAGAAAGAAAATCAATTGAAAGGCTAGTTTAATTTTTTGTATGGCTTGCACGCAAATCTAGTAAGAAAGAGAAAGAAAAGAAAGGAAACAAAAATCATTTCCGGCCAAACCATGTTCACCACCAGAGTCAACCGCACATATTGCTTGAAGTTGGTGAAGTGAATGATGCGCTGACAAATATTTAGCAGGCGTCAATAGTTTTTTTTTTTTAATTACACAAAACCATAAGTGCCCCCAAGACCAATCAAAAATCACAAATAGACCATGAAGAAATTACTGCAAAGTCCCTGAATCCAAGTGTGAAAAATTGAAATGGCAGGGGTAATATAGTAATTTCACTGTTTGACCAAACATGAAAATACAAAAATGTCTTTATATAGAAAGTATTGAATTATTTTTTTTCAAAGTTGCATTCATTATTTTACCATGTATTTAAAAATATAATTATTAAAATAACCTCACTCAATTATCAAAACTCAATTACCAAAAGACATTCATGTCATAAGAAGAAAAATCATAAGTTATAATTATGAATGTCTGACAAGATTTACAAGTATTAGCATTAATCGAATAAGACGACTAATGTAATCATGTTAACAATTTATAATCTGATTA